GCGTAGGGAGGGCCGAGAGCCGGAGCGGCGACGTACGGGAGGCCGTGCGCACGCAGGGGGTGTGGCTGCGCAACGCAGGGCAGCCCTGCGCTCCTCGCTGCTCCGAGTTGGTGTCGCTCTCTTCGGCTCGAGGGTCAGTGGGGCGGCGAGAACCGGGGCGACCGGCGGTGGGATTCCGCCCTCCGTCCCTTCCCGAATCCCCGTCCGCGGAGTCCCCGGTCTGGGTCCCCGCTGTCCTTCTGGCCAGCGGGCCTCAGTTTGTCAGTCCGCGCCGGGGCTGAGGGGGCCGTCTGGAATCATTTTCCGGTGGTTCCCGCCGTCTTCGTCCCCAGAAGTAGCCCCCACCTCGCCTCACGGCGGGCCGATCTTGTTTTCCGCTTTCTAGGTGACACTTGGACTCTCGCCCTTGGAGGGAGACGCGTCCGCAAGGTCTCTGGGTGCAGATTCGTGGACTCTGTTCGTGGGCGCCTGGCGTAGCCGTAGGTGGGTCGGATTCCTGTTGCGGTGAAGCTTGTGAGCTCACATTCCCGCGGTGTCCTGCATGGTGGTTGCGGGAGGGGTGGTGCAGTGGTCTGCCCTGAAGTGGAGGCACTTGCTAGGGGGCTTCGGGCAAGTTATTCTACTCCTGGGGCCCCGGGGTCTCCTCGGAGTAGAGAACGTTCCAGTGTTTCAGGTGCTGGCTCTGACTTTGTGGAGGCAAGTGCGCGTGAGCCGCGGTACTAGCTCCTTGATAGAGCACTGTCCAGTCCAGGAGAAGGGCCCAAATTCCTCCGTGCCGGGCAGGGTGGGGAGAGGAATGAGAGAGACCAACAGGTTGATAGTCGCGAGAGAGCCAAGGTTCTTTCACCAGTCAGGCCCAGGCTTAGGAAGGTTCAGGCTTAGGCAGGGCTGGCTCTTTGGCACAGAGAAGCATTCTTCCTGAGGCAGTGGGCACACAGGAATAATGATGAGTTGGGAGGGTGACAGCTAGGACTCTGAGTGGGGTTGGGAGATCCGAACTGGGAGAAAGGGAGGGCAGAGACCTGGGTAGTGCATTGGCTTCTGGGTGTGGGATGTGGTCTTGGTGGGTGACCTGGCACCTAACCTCAGATTGGTGATAGGAGCTGCCATGTGGTTATTGCTTTTCAGAGCTCAGTGGGGGACTGAACTGGACTCTGAGGGTACTGTATTTATGAGCTGCTCCTTGGGCCTCTGCTGCTGGCAGGCCCTAGCATATTCTTTCCTTGTATTAGGATGAAAAGGGCTTTTATGTGGAAGACCACCCCCAGAGTAGGGGGTATATCTAAGAGCTTCTGTAATGCTTGGGTGGCAGAGGTAGGTGCTGGTGACCCTGGCAACTTTGAATGCTGCAGGTAACCCTGGGAGGTTCTGGGCAGAAAGACCAACAGAGCTGTGCCTTCCTGCAGAAACTCACTCTGATGGGGCAGGTGTGTGTGTGTGTATGTGTGTGTAGATAAATGCATAAGAAACTGCACATGAAGGTGCCCCTAGGTGTGAGTTGATGCAGCCCTGGTATATGAGTGGAGGGGTTGTTGGAGAAAGTGCACAAGGAGGAGTGAAGCAGAGAGCTATAGAGGCCATGGGTATATCTCCCTTTGCAGAGAGATTGGGGATGTGACTACCATTGGCCTAGGCAGTGTGAGAACCTTGGGGGAGGGCTCTCTGCACTGGAAAGGAACTGTGCCTGCTGGTAGTTACAGCTTCCTTTCCCCCTTCAGGGCCCTTTGGACTACTCAGGGTTGATGATCACTGCTCTCCAGGCCCTTTGCAGGTGTAACTTTGGGGAGTTGAGAGAAGATGCAGCAAGTGGGATTAAACTTGAGGTATCAGATGCTGGGCTTTTGACAGGGAAGGGAGTGCAGGGAGGTGGTATTTGGAGTCAGGGTGGCATTGCCTGTAGGTTGTACTCTGAGTGATGAAGTGAGTCTGGAAAGCGTGGGGGTAAGGCTAGAGACAAAGAGAATAGCAAGGCCCTGGGCTTCTGTCATACACACAGGTAGCATCTACCGTGCTCCTGATGTTGTAATGTAAAAGAATCTTATTACCATCTGTGCCATAAATTAGTGTTAGTGTTTGAGGCAGCCAGAAGACTCCTTCTAAGTAGACTGTAAAGTATAGTTCATAATTGGTGTGGTGAAGTTGACAGTTAAGTGTTTGGTCTCTAGAGCCAGGTTCAGCTGCCTCTGCCACTTACTGGTTGGTGTGTGGCTGCAGACAAGTGACTTCACTCAACACTCTGCCTCGGGGACCATAATAGTACCAACCTTATGAGAGGGTCAGTGTTTGGTGTGGATGGAGCACTCAGTAAAAGTTTGCTACTGTCATTCTCCTGAAATTCCCTGATAGCCAGGCTGTTCAAGGAAGCCCAGGGGGTTCTGATCTGGCCCCCTTTTCCTTCTCCTGGTACTGACAGCATCTGCCATCACATCTTGCCCTTGAAATGTCACAGGTGGCATTTGCCCGCCTTCTTGGACCTCTCAGGCCAGCCTCCCAGGCCCTCCTTCCATTCAGAGCTCCTAGTGGGTTCCCTCAGGTTTGCCTGCTTGTTGCCACCTCCTGCAGCCCAATGGTGATGGTTGGGCCTAGTTTCTGCTCTTCCCCACCTTGTTTTTGGACAGATAGCCTTAGATGGTGACCTGCGTCTGACAATCCCGTGAGCTCTTCTCAGCTCTCCTGAGGCCGCAGCTGTCAGCTCCCCTGACCCTTAGCATTTGCCTGGAACGCCTGGGGTTTGCCACTCCCCTCTCTAGCCCATCTCTGACCTGTTGTGTCCTGAGTATCGCTTCTGACCACCCTCCCTTCCTGTGCCATCTCTTCCTTCTCCCCTTCTTTCTAGTAGTTGGTGCAGGAGCCTCCCTCCACTCCCAGCATGTCTGGTGGCCAGCGCCAGCATAAGGGTTCTCGCTATTCCATCCGGGCTGCAGCCATTTATGCCAACGCACACCCTTGGCAAGAGATCGACTGGGCCTCTCCTGGTTCTGCATTTGCCCTGCTAGTGGATCCCTGGATTGAGCAGCCCTGCTATGGGGACCCTGTGTGCGTGTGCATGACCATGGAGCAGAAGAGCACAGTGAGCGGTGAGGCTGTAGAAAGGGGGCCCCTGCACCATTTGCATGCCTGACCCATGACCCCTGAGGGTGAACTTCCACTGGGTGCCAGGCTCAGACCCAGGCACCTTTGATGGCTCCCCATGGCTGCTGGACTGCATTTTGGCCCAGCTGGGTGATTACATGTCTTTCCAATTTGAGCACTACCAGGACAGCCTCAGCCACGTCTGTGAGATCCTTGGATGCCTGACAAGCTGAGCTCAGGCATGCGCAGCCCCCTACCTCAACGGGGACCTACCCCTGCCTGATGATTATGAGCTCTTTTGTCAGGATCTTGAGGGGTTTATTCAAGAGCCAAACAGTTTTGCTGTGTACCATGTTGCAGTGCCCTACCCCTTGCCCCTGCCTCGAGCCAGCCACCAGTGGCCCTGCAGCTGCCTATGGTGAGGCAGTATTTAGCTAGGTTCTCGGACGTCCTGGCACTCAATATGGGCGCCACCCCCAGGCCTGTCCCAGCCACCCCTGCTGTTTCTAATTTTGACTCTACATTAAAAAATGCTCTGCCTGAGCAGCAGTTGACCAAGGAGAGCAGCCCTGGGCCCGCTGAGCCCCTTGCCTTGTCCAATTCTGCATGCAGCACTAATCCTGTTCTGGTGCGGCCAGCCTCCTCCCAGCCAAGGGAGGTGGCCCCATAATCATCAGGCAGGTGGCCCAAACCTATCCTTGTACTTTCATAATCTGCTAACCCCCCTGCCCAGAAACCAGATCCAATTCACCCAGGGGGTCCAGAACCCCAGAAGACAGAGGACGTTTCTGAGGCAGAGGGAGACCAGGAGGCATCTTAGGTGGCCCACAGGGGGCAGTGGACACCCCAGAGACCCCAGGAGAGCCACCATTTTCTCCTACTCTCCACCCTGCAACCCTGGATTCTGAACAGGGCCCAGGCAGGTGCAGCAGTGCCCCTCGAGATGAAGTGGCCTGTGTAGCTAAGGAGCCCCACAGCCCCCCGTCAGGACCAAGTGCCATTGCCAGGTGACTCTAGACAAGGTGCTGCCAGGTGCTGCGCTGTCCATTTGCCCCATTGCTGGGCAGGAGGTGTGCTTGTTTGGACTCCGCCTTGTCTGAGCACAAACAGCCCACTTCGTTCTTCTCCTTCCCCCGCCACAGCAGACTGTTGGCCTCTGCCCTCTGCTTCTTGTTCTGACTATCCAGTGGCCCAGAGACTGCTTCCTGCTGGGCTCTCTGCAGCATCCCCACACCTGCCTTGGGAGTGCTGTCTCACCTGGGCTTGTTCCCACTAGTTGGGCAGAGTTCTGTAGATCAGTCCCCATCAGATATTTGCATCGTCTTTGTAAACCCTACCCACTGATGCACACACAGAACCCCCTTCAGTGCTGGCCTCAACTGGACTGAGTCTGCTATGCCAGTCCTGTTTGGATCTGGTCCCCTGTTTGGATAGGCCACCCCCCATCTCGGCTTCCTGTGGCCTGTCCTCTGGGCTGGAATTTAAGGAAGGTTGCATGGAGGAAGTGGCCACTTTCATTGTTGAGTGCGAGTCAGATGGTATCTTGGTAGAGAAAGATGCTTTTCTGTGGGTTTAGCAGCAGCCCTGGTCAGCTGGGAAGGCTCAGATACAGGAAGGTAGGATGTAAGCCACCTTTCAGTCTCAGCTCTTTCAAGCATTTTCTCCTTCTGTATGTCAACATTCTAGTCACCTGGTTTTCTTGAATTTTTCTGTCTTCAGTGCCTTTGCCCCTGCTGCCCTTCCACTCTCTGCTTTTCAACAGTCATTGCCTTTTTGCCCACTCTTGCACATTGCTGATTCAGCACTGAAACTCCAACACTGTACATGATTTGTATATCTGGGTAGAGTGTGAGCCTCTAGGGCAGGGGCTCCATCTTAGCTTGTGTCCTGGTACACAATCAGTGCCCATTAAATGTGTTTTGGATCCATGGCTGAACCTGTGGTGTGGTGGCTGCCGACAAGCAGAGTCTTTGTTCCATTGGCAGGAGCACTGTGCCCTTTCTGTAAGGAACAGAGAGGCTAGTCCTCAGCCACAAGCACCCCAGGTCAGTGTTGCACGTGTGGTTGGGAGCTTTGAGGATTGGAAGGTCTGGTTGAGGAGTTGGGCTGAATGGGTGAGAGTGGGAGGCCTGACAGGTGGAGTGTGGGCTTGAAAACTGACTTAGGAGAGCAGAGGTGAAGTGAGGAGCAGGCAGCAGACCTGAGTTGTGAGGCCTCAGGGGGACAGAAGATTGGAATGAAGAAAGACCTGTTCTGCACAGGGACGGCTTTTCTAATAACGAGAACTGAGCTGGGAAACTCCCCCGAGCCAAATTTAACATAGGACTGGTACAGTGCACCTACTCAGGGGAGTGGTTAGGCAAGAATTTCAAGCCCCTTTCAGTTTTACAATTGTGTAAACAAAACAAAAGAACACCTTCCTGGAAAGTAGGGAGAAGAAATAAATGGAAATGGGAAATGCAACTAAAACTAGTTATTTTAGGAAAAACTGTAATAAGCAAATATCTGATAAAAAATTTTAAGTACATTGTTGGGATTATTTTATTTAGTAACTGTCACTTAAAAAGGCTCTGGGTTCAGATGGTTTTATGTGTGAGTTATTTTAAGGTATGGATATGTTGTAAGTAAAATAGTTGCAAATCTTGGAAATAGGCAAAACAAGCAAGCTGACAAAAGAAGTCATGTGCAGTCTGATTCTGATCAGATGCGGAAAATCCTGAATGTTCTAGCCAGCCCCGGTGCTTCTGCGTGGGGTAACACTACTGCCCCTCCATGCTGTTGCTCAGTTCCAGGCACTTCTTTTACAGCACAGGTCTGACTGCTCCCACCTCCCTCAGTCAGCTGTGCCTGGGCCGCCTGTGGATCTGGTGTGGTTGGTAAGAATCAGAAGGGCCCTCATTTGGGCTGGCAAGACAGCTCTGGCAGTAGAACCTAGAGCTGCTTTCTGGGGGGATGGCCCAGTTGACACCCCTGCTATGTTGGTGGCCTCTGCATAGGCTGCCTTTCCTGCCACCATTTAGTGGATCTGGAGTGAATTCCTTCAGCTCAAGATTGCCATTTTCCCTTCTGACCCCCTGTCCTATTGGGGCTTTTCCTTCCTCAGGCCCCAGACAGCTCCTGTGGGCTTGGGTTACAATCTGACATACCTCTCCTGAGGGCCATCTCTGCCAAGGCAGGTCCAAGGGGATTTAGGGAGAGGCCAGATGACCTGCTTTTTAATTTGGAGAATAGGTCTTATTGTGGTTGGGCTGTTGGCAGGAAAGGAAAGGAGAAGAGGACAGACCTCATTGGTGATGGCAAAGGTACCTGTTCTGGGCGGCATCAGGAGAGGATGGGAGGGCTTTGGCTTGGCTTGCCACATGGGCAATGTGTATGGTGTTGCAAAGTGACAGCTTCCTCTGGTGCTGAGCCCTGCCTTTGGGAAGATGCAGTGGCCTAGCTGCTTTCCCACTGGTGGGTTGG